AGGATTAGAATTTTAGATGAGTAAGAAGAGAATCCTAAATAATAGAGATGGGATAAAATTACAGAAAAACAGAGATCCTCATCCTTATGGCTTAAACTGATTGCCACTTGGGATAAAAATTCAGCTTCCAATTCCTCTTTACGATACATTATACTGCATTAACATGTGTTATTGAGATGGCATGTCTTCCTTGGAAGCATACAGAATAAGCAGGACCTGACTAGGTAAATTGTTTGCTCCAACCTACCAGGTTCCACTTTCTTGGTCATAAGAACGTAAAAAATTGGTTGAAATTAAAAAAAAAGAAAAATGAATATAAAATCTCACTGTGTCACTCACAAAGTAGACCAGGGTAAGAGGAAGTGCTGGGTGGGAACTGCTGAGCATCTTCCAAACCCAGCATTTGTAGTTGAATCTTTGCAACCAAAATAGAGCATTGCAGTGCTGAGTTCTGATCCAGCTTTTCCAAACCTTCTCATTCCAGGCTTCTCATGGGATTCATGGTTGTGACTGCCTTCCTGTCAATGTGGATCAGCAACACGGCCACCACTGCTATGATGGTCCCCATAGCACAGGCAGTGCTGGAACAGCTGCACAAGTCAGAACTGGAGTCCAGTGGTGCTGGCCAAGTATCTGAAAATGTCAACAAAGCCTTTGAGCTGCAGGAAGGGCCAACTCCACCTGTTAACTCCAATGAAAAAGAGGAAAAAGGTGAGTGAATCCTGGGCAGCTTTCTCTTCGGGGTGATGGAGGATGACCTGATGCCTTCTTCACTGTCAGAAGGGCTGCCAGTAAATTCTAAAAGAACAACACACCTCAAGCATCCTGACTGTGTCACACAGCATTGATGAGGCTCTTCCATGAGCCACACAAAACCACCATAAGATCTGTTGACTAGGCTGAAGTTGGAAATAGATCAAAAGATACAAAGAGATCATAACTAATCAATAAACCAAAACCAGGATGCATTCTCCATTGGCTGAAGCCTTTCCATGAGGCTTGATATTTTTCTGTATCTTTGTCTTAGTTCAATTCTTGCCTCCTGTGGAATGGATCAGATAATATGGAATTCCCATGGGAAAAATTCTGGCCTATTTCAAGCCAGAAGGGTAGGGATTAAAATGATCTTTCTAATCCAAAGCTACACAATCAAGCAACAGTATCTCTTTACCAGCTGTCTTGCCCTCTCCTCATGTTTGAGATGACTCCAGTGTTTCTGTAAGTCCCAGTGCCAGTGGTCAGATGCTGGTACAGAAAAAGTTGCCTTCAGCCCAGCTCCTCTGGCTCTGTTGTAACTCCCTGAATTCTCACCTTTCTCCCCTCCATGTGCAGTTCAGACATCACCCTAGTTCACCAAGAAGTGTCAGCAAAATGAGCAAAAGATCAAAAAATTAACAATGCCAGTCTTGA